CCGCGGCCGTCCCAGCGTGCAGGCCGGGAGTACAAAAACCCTTTGTCTGGTAAAGGCACCATTTTCAGCACAGTTTAGTTCAGACACACAGCATCACACACAGAGAAGTACATCCCTCTGGATGACTTCATTCCCTGGATCCCCTCCTCCGTCCCACCCTCCCACTGGGGCTGGAGATGGGCCACATCCAGCTGCAGAGCAGACAGACAGACAGACAGCCAGCCAAGGGGGAGCAGGACACAGCAACATTACAAAGAGATTGATTATCTTAGAACAAACAGGAGACCCCCACCAGTACAGTTGGTGAAATTCTAGGTGACATTTTACAGATTTTAATAGTGTTATAAATCTTAGTCTAAGTTTATGGGAAACCACAGGAGTTCAAGTATTTTATTACTGCACACACTATATATATATATATTTATATATGTATATACAGAGGAAAACATGATTTTTTTTGGCAATATTGGGGGGATTTTACAGATTGAGCTGTGCTTGTGGCGAGCACAGAGTGAGACAGCCCAGCATTCTCTTCAGCACTTTTAGCAAGTTGTGCAATAGATTCCTATTTGTGACCACAACATCCAGCTTCTACCCACGGCTCCATAGGATCAGGATGCACAGCTCCTTCTCCTCTCCTAGCACACTGGATGCTGAGCAACTCTGCTCAGGAGGAGTTCCAAACTCGCAGTCTAGTCTGACACAAGGTGGCCTGAAAGCATCCTGACTGACACTACAAAGGTTTGGGGATTAAAAGAGGGGGTGCATCAGTCACCAGGTTTCCATTTGAAGTGCACAGAGAAGCTCCAGTGGTCCAGGTAGAGACTCTTCCTGCTTCCTAGTGTCCTGCAGGAACTGCTGCTCTGTCTTTAGACCTGAATTAAAACCTATCAGCACCCCATTTTTTAAAACCAGAATATGGCCGTGTCTTCTCGTACCTTTATCTTCACTGCCCATCCGTGTATTAGTGGGAATTAGTATAGGAGTCTCATTTAGCCAATCTCTAATTAAAAAGCATTAAACTCAGTGCTCCTATAGCACAGCTTAGTGTCAGTCAGCATGGAATTAAGAATTTAAGTGCATCATTATGCATCTATAAACATATATACATGCACAGACATGTTTAAAATATATCTCTCTTCCTCTGAAAAAGTCCACTGAGACCTCATTCCACTTGTGCCATCAAGGTGTACCCAGGAAACACTTTCTAGTCCATGCAGAGTAACCGTAAATTAACTGACCAGATCTTGCTTTGCAGGTGGGTTACTCCGACTCCTCACTGCACAGTCAGAGAGATGACAATGAACCAGACAATTTCCTTACCAGGGCTCAGGGCAGGAATGGGGAACCCAAAGCGACGCCCCCGTGCCGGATTTCGGGACCATTTCCCTACAGGCGGCCGCGCTCCCGCTGCCAGCCCGGCTGCAGAGCGAGGAACAGGCCGGGGGGTCAGTCCTGGAGCTTTGGTCGAGGTATTTATGAGTGTAGAGTCCTACATTCCTGGTTTGGATCTCCGGCTGGCCCTGCCCCGGCAGCGATGCCAGAGGGGGGCCGCGATTCCAACGGGTCAGCCCACGGGGAGGCCCCAGGGGAGCCACGAGTTATTTGGGAGGCAAAGGTGCCGGTCGAGAAGGGTAATACTGTCCCTGAGGTAAACATTTCTGCTGTGGCAGCCCCTGAGGTACAACCTTCTGCTGCGGGGGTGGGGGCCTGCGAGAGGACAGAGGAGCTGCCATCAGTCAGGGGGGCTGCACCCACCACCCACAGCCCCCAGCCACCCAGCAGGAGAGCCCCCGGCCACCACACCACTGCTCCCGGTCCTGGCCTCCGTGCCAGGACTCCCTTGGAACACACCACGGGCTCAGGCTCTGCCTTCCGCTGCCTCACACCCTCAGGGCCCCCCAGTTTGTTAAAATTCACCTTTTCTCCCCAAATCATTTAAAGAGCCCCCCCTCAAGTGCCCCACCAACATAAGCTACATTTAGGAGCTCCCACTCAGTACCCAACACTCCCCAGGCCCATGTGTGTCATGGCACAGCATTACAGCTCACGAGCACAGTTTGGAAGGAAGATGAAAAATAGAGGAAAACTTCCTGTTCAAAGCGATGAGAAATGATCCTGCACTTGGCCATAACGTTCACAAATCAGCAAAGTGACAGATTTTGGAGTAATTTCTTTTTAAACTGCCTGTTTTGAGAGGCCTTCCATCCACCTGCCAGCAGGGTAAAGGTGGCCCCCCAGCAGGGCTGAGCCCCCTCATCACCAGGCAGGATGAAGGCAGCGGGTGATGGCCCAGCAGCTTGGGGTGAAGGGAAGGAGAAACTTCTCCCGGGGAGAAGTCAGCCCTGCCTGCACACCCCACATGATGGAACACCCCAGTGCTCCCAGGGATGGAGGGCCAGGGGGATAAACCCCTTCAGTGCCAGCAGGAATCTGCAGTAACTCCACTGACCTGCTGGGCAGCCTCGGCGGCTGCGGGTACTGCGGAGGGGGGTAGTAGGGCTGGTGGAAAGCCTGCTGAGGGTGCTGGTTAACTGGGTAAGCTGGGACAGGAAAGGTGTTTGGATCCATATCCTGCGAAGAAAACACAACAGGAACGTTCACAAATGGCACGCAGGGAGTTGAAATATTTGTGTCATTGGTTAAGTGACACTCAAGACCACTGATCAGGAAATAAGTATATTCCCTCTGCTTCTCAGCAAAGAGAAAACACCACTTCCAGAAATGGAGAAGTAACTTCGAGGCTTTTATTAGGGAAAAAATGATCTGTCAGTTGAGAGTAAGAAGTAATGGAAAGGAGATGATTCCTACCGTGGGAACAGCTCTTGGGGCATAAGGGGTGCCGTGGGAGAAGCCTCTGTGCTGGTAGTCCCTGGGTTCGGTGTCTGGCCGAGGAGGAGGTGACTGAAGTGACCTGAAATCCGTGGATAGGGACTGTGTGAGCACATAACAGTGACTGTGCAGGCCATGAACCCTGGCAGCTGGATTTATATTGTCTTATTACACGCCGAATGTCAGGAAGATAATATTTACCACAAATCTAGTAAAGCAACAACCCTTCTTCTGTTTAGGACTCTGAGAGCTTCCCTTTGCCACTTTACGCCAAGATGGGATCCAAAAATATAGACCCCCATCTCCAGTGCATGACAACAAACGTAATGCTAAAGAGAAAATTCTTTGCTCTCTTGATTTAGGGTGAATTTGTCTTTTCTGTCATTGCCAGGGGCAGGCTACACGTGTCACTGGATGCAGGGGCCTTTGCCTGACATCCTGGGACTGGGATATGCCTCCACACCTTGGCATTGGGTTGTATAAACAACATCCACAGGGTGTTCAAAGGGCAGAGAAGGAAGGAAGGAGAAGGCACTCACGAATGGCAGCGGGACATCAACCTCCTGAAGCATCTCTTCAGCCTGTCCCTCCTCACAAAGGCCAGAGCAGCAGCTACCAGGAGTGGGAGCACCAGGAAGAAGAACACCAGCAGGCCATTCCTCAGAGAGGTGTCCTTGTCTGAGGGCACAAAACCATGGGGAAGAAATGAGTCTAATGTGGTGTCACCACCAGCACCTGACTCACAGCAGCAGTGAATTGGTTCTACAACAATTTTCCATTTTATTACAGAAGAAAAACAAAAGAACCCAGTAAGACTGCAAGATAAATGCCCAAAGAGATTCTTTTCTGTTTATCTTTTCACAGGGATTGTCTGGTCAAAGATGAAAGAGCCATATGTGCCATGACACCCTGGGCTACAGCAGCATATTGAATTAGGAGATCAATCCTCATTTTTCATTACTGTGAAGATGTTATGAGAGAGGAAAACAGAGCTTCTGCTCTTTGGTCTGATCCTAAATCTTCCTCTTCTCCAACCACTGTTTGCTGTAGGCAAAGAACTCGGGTTCTTAACAATCTCTACCTTTTCATATGCAACAATTTCTCTCCTGCAGACTGTACTAAAACAGCCTTTCCCTTTTTTGCCTGATGATTTGAGGGATCTGCCCATGCTCACTGTGATTATCCACTCTCTTATTGTATCAGTGTCTAGCTTTCCCCTAACCCACATCATCTCACGAAAAACAGTCTTCAAGATCATTCTTGCAGCTCACAGAAGCTATTAAAACAGTCCCATCTTTATACAGTCCACGTGGACACAGCACAAGTTTTCTCCAAACTAAAAATTGGCTTTGGCTTCCTAATTCATCTTCAAACCCTCTGCGAGCAAAGTAAGCTTTCCTGCTCTGTCAGTTTGCTTTCTCACATGCAAGAATCGTGGTCCCCTTCACTGGGGCTTCCCTTCCCAGCCTGGGTACGGAGAAGCCCAAGGTGGCAGAAATCACCTGAACTAAACCAACCCAGATCCTCACACATTCCAGCCCAGCATCCCAAGGGAGAGAACTGCAACACCTGCAGCCCAAAACCTCCACTAGGATTGTTCACAGGTGAAACCCAGTGCAGAGCCATCCACCAAACCTTCCCCACGTGTGTGGGTGCCCAGCCCAGCCCCAGAGCCCTCACACCACTTGCCATTGTAGGGAGGGCCACTGTCCACGCTCCCTCCATAGCCTTTGGTGTCACAGAAAGGGGGGGCCCAGCCTGCTTCACAGTGGCAGTTCCTGTTGTTGTTGCACACCT